ATGCGCTACGTGCTGTGTATCCTCGCTCTCCTGCTCTCATGTGCGTGTGTGCACGTCCTCGCTGAAGAAGTGCCTGCCGCCGATCTTTCCGACCAAGTCCCTGATACGGAGAGTGAGACTAAGATTATTCTTCCTTGTCCTGCCACTGGTGCTGGTGCTCCTACCAATTGTACTCCTCCTTCTGTGGGACCTGGTGCTGGTGCTGCTACTACAGTGACTCATGATGTTGGGGGACCTGGTGGTGTTAAAGGACCTAAGGCTGCAAAAGTTGAAGAACCGGGAAGCATTTCTGGGGAACCTAGGCCATCGTCAGAAGATCCACATGCAGTAACGTCACAGCGTGAAGACGTTAGAGAAGGTCTAAATGGTCCTCAAGGTGAACCTGGTATACCCACCGAGGAAGGTTCAGTTGAAAATAGAGGACAGAGTACATCTTCTTCCTCTTCTGGTACTTCTGCTGCACCCAATATTGTTGTTGTTCCTGCTCCTGCACCTAGGGCAGATGCCACTGAGGCTGATGCTGCACGTGAAGGGCAAAGTGAAGGTCAACCAGGAGACAACGGCGGCAGTGCAGAAGGTGGTTCCAACAACACTAACCCACAAACTCAGTCGGAAGGTGCAAATGAAGGTGGTGACAGTAATCCCAGTAATCAGACTAGTGCAGCTGCAGGTACGACTGGAACAGAAGGTTCACAGGGGAATGGCAATGCTGAAGAATCAACCACCACCACTACCACTACCACTACCACAACAACACTTCCTCCTGAGACCGTAAACAACAATAAGGGTAATGCAGACAGCAGCAGCAGTATCAGCAGTTCTGTGTGGGTGCGTGTACCACTACTGATTGTGGTTACACTGGCCTGTATTCTTGTGTGCTGATTGTAATGGTGGTGTGGTGGTGTGACTCAGGTCATCCTTTGTTTTCTTTTTCCTTTTTTTGCATGCATCCCTACAGTCTAACTAATCTTTCACTCGTTGGGATTATCCTCTTTTTTGTTTCTTAATGTTATTGTGTTTTGTGTGTTTTTGCTCTCTGTGTTTATCCTATAATAATAATTATTGCTACTCCACTGTGTGTGTGTGTGTTGTTGGAGACTCTCTCTCTTTGTGTGTGTACCTGGGCTTGCACTGTAATGATGATGATGATGAACTGTTTTTTGCAGTGAAAAAAAAAGAAATAATAATAACAGATGAATTTATATTTATAATTGCGTATATATACACATATATAGACTTACACCCATAGTTGTGTATATTTCTGTGCTTACTGGGTAAATTGGGCTAATTGTTGAAATATCTTTTTCTTTGCTTGATGATTTTGCTGGTGCGTTTTGTGTGGTTTGACGTCCACCGTTTCGGTGATACGTTTTGTTCTGATGGGAAACAAATAATTGTTATACGTTTATATTTTTAATTGCATATGAACTCGGACACAACCATAGCTGAATATTTTTTTACATTCGATGGTTGCTCTGATCGTGCTATTAATTTGTTGTGTTTTTTCTTTTGTTTGAACTTGATTGTGTTGTGCACCTTTTTTGGGCTCTTTATTATTTCTGTGCTTTGCCTTGTCTTGTGGTTTTGCTAAGTTTTGTTTTTATCTTTTTCTCCGTTTTTCTTTTTTTGTTTTTGTGTTTATCAATTTTATTCTGTATTGGGTTCTCTTAATCATTTTGTTCTAGAGTTTTGGCGACTGTGAACGATTCAAGTAACTTTTTCGCATGATGTTGCTGCTACGAATGTTGTATTTTATTGTACTGTTTTTGAGTGTTGCCTGTGTGTGTGTGGCGGCTGGAGAGGAAAAAGATCCTTCTTCTGGCGTTAGCAATTGTGAAGCCAGTACTGGTCCCGAGTGTAAAAATGACCCTAAGCTCTCTGAATCTGCTCGTGCTCCTGCCGCTCCTGTTGGACCTCTGGGTGAAAGAGGTGAAGCGGGTTCTACTGCTCTTCAGGGCCGTGGTACTCTCCCAGCAGTTAGAGATAATGATCTT